AGGGAGGAAGGCAGAAGGAGGGGAGAGGGCAAAGCCCCGGAACCAGGCGGTGCCGAAGGCGAAGGCGGGACTGCGAAACACGACTGAGGATGAAAATCCGGTCCTGGCGAATGGGTCGAGACCTCTGGGGGTCGACGTTGCGAAAACATCATGACGTCGGGGGTCTGAGTCTTCATCACGGATCCTTTCTTGATGGCCCCAAGGCCCGAAAACTGCCCCCGGGGACGAAGCGAGGAGAATCGCCGAGACCGAACAAACAATGACATGCGCGAGAGGTCTGGGCCTCCAGCACCGTTGCAGTCAGAACCTTTTGCACAGCGTGCCGCGGCGGCGGTCTAGGCAACACGCTATGCCCTGCGGACGGATAGCATGTCGCTTCGCTCCGCGGGGCTGGAGGCTCGGAAAAAACTCGAGGCATGGACGCCGGGACCAGGCCGTGAATAGCGTGTCGCACCGAAGGGTGGCGTGCCAGAATCGGCGGAGCGACATGTCAACCACAAGATCCTGACCGCAGCGGGTGCAAGGGACAGAGCCGATGCTCCACGACTGCCAAACGAAACTTGGCGGCCAGACCGGGGGGGGAGTGAGGGGAAACCCAATGATTTTTTGAATTGGAATTTTGAAATTTGTTTGAAATTGTTCGTACCAATTCCCCCTGTAGGAGGACACGCCTGACCTAACTATAGCCCCCTGGAGTGCCGCCCCGAGAGAAACCTGGGAGTCGCAGATGTCCCTAGTGTCGAGGGAGAAGATGGGGGCGGACACCAAGCCTCGACTGTCAGCATTAGCAAGCACGCGAATGCCGCCACACCACTACGCTATATGCGGCACCTACAGATGCCACCAGGGGGGCGCAGAGAAAACAGTTGCACTTGACAGCGTGTTTTTCCTCTGCCAGCGTGCGGGCGCTGGCTGTAGAGGAACGAAAAGCGGCATAAACATACACTGTTGGAGATGTGCGCGGATTTATTTTATCTGCGCTGAAGCGGCATGAGCTGGGTTCGCCGGCGCTGGTTTCGCTGGCGCTGGTTTCGCTCCGCTGGTTTCGCCGACGGCTGGTTTCGCCGACGTTGGTTTCGCCGGCGCTGATTTCGCCCCGCTGGTTTCGCCCCGCTGGTTGCGCCGACGGCTGGGTTCGCCGGCGCTGGTTTCGCCGACGCGAGCCCTAACGGGCGGGTCGGGTCGGGCGGTCGGACCCTAGCGAGCGGGTCGGGTCGGGTCGGGTCGGGCGGACCTTAACGGGCGGGTCGGGTCGGGCGGGCGGAACATTACAGTGTGGGGCGCGCTCGACCGAGCACGCGAAAACCTTGCCGGGCTGGACGGGTCGGGCGGGAGGACCCCAACGGGCGAGTCGCGTCGGGTCGGTCGGGCGGACCCTGACGGGCGGGTCGGGTCGGGCGGGCGGGACATCAAAGTGCGGGGCGCGCTCGACCGAGCACTCTCGAACCCTAACGGGCGGGTCGGGTTGGGCGGGCGGACCCTAGCGGGCGGGGCGGGTCGTGTCGGGCGGGCGGACCCTGACAGGCGAATCGGGTCGGGCGGGCGGACCCTAGCGGGCGGGCCGGGTCGTGTCGGGAAAGGTCGGGTCGGGCGGGCGGAACATGAACGTCTGGGGTGCGCTCGACCGAGCACGCGCGAACCCTGACGGGCGGGTCGGATCGGGCGGGCGGACCCCAGCGAGCGGGTCGGGTCGTGTCGGGCGGGTTAACCCTAACGGGCGGGTCGGGTTGGGCGGGCGGACCCTAGCGGGCGGGTTGGGTCGGGCAGTGTCGCCGACGGAAGCTGGTTTCGCCGACGGCAGTTGGTTTCGCCGACGGAGCTGGTTTCGCCGACGGAGCTGGTTTCGCCGACGGAGCTGGTTTTGCCGGGCGGCGAAACCAGCCAGGCGAAACCAGCCAGGCGAATCCAGCCGTCGGCGAAACCAGCGGTCGCCGCTGAAGCCCCCTCCCTGGTGCGAGGAGGGCGCCAGGGGCGTCGCCGGAGGCGACGCCAGGGGGGGCCCAGCGCGGGCCGTCGAAAGCATATGTTTATACAATGTTTGCTTCTTCGATGGTTATCGGGTCACGAACGACTGCCAACAAAGACCAGACAGCGCGCGGCGCAACCTCTTCCGCGCGCCCAGGCACGGTGAGGGCACACGATAAGGAGCCCTTGGACAAGGAATGCAGGGCCTGGAAACCGATGGACCTCCTATCGTGGATTGGCCGTGGATATTACCGCCACCCTGGTCAAGGAAGAAATCCTGCAGGGTCCGAAGCCTCCGCCACCCACCTCCTCGGAAAGTCGCCCTCCTGCCCCCTCAGGAAACCGCCGCCGGGCCTTACGCACCGCCTCTGGGGACCCGCCGCTCTCCTGTCGACGTTCTCGCCCTCGTCGCCCTCGTCCTTGTCCTCGTCTTCGCCCTCGTCGTCCTCGTCCTTGTCCTCGTCCTCCTCCACCATATCCTCTTCGTCCTCGTCGTCCTCGTCATCCTCGTCGTCGTCCTCCTCCTCCTCCTCCT